AACACTTGAAATAAATCAAACATCATTACATAATATGCTGGAAAATATCTAGACATTAGGGCATGAAAAGCTGAAGATTTGATCAAAATAGCATGAGTTACTAGATATTTAATTTTGTCATTTTTGGATTTGCCCGAATTATCACATGGCATGCTTGTGGTTAGGCCATAATAACAAAAATCCTAGATTCAACAATAATGTAAATAAAATAGATAATGCCGAAGTGGGGTGTAGACCCAGATTTTTTGCTTCACTGAACATGTACTGTGTGTCCTATGAAAATATATACTTGTTTCATAACAATATTGTGTCCTTTTTTGTTAACAGATAAACAGCAAGCTAAGGACACATATAAGCAAAAGAAATTCTCCTTTGTGCTTCAAGATTGTTTATTTGATATTTTACATACACTCATTTGTTAAACCACTAAGAATATTTTCCAAATATCAGCAGACATATTAATTCTTGTAGACTTACCCTCCTTTTATTAAATTATGACATATATATACACCTGAAATATTGTTTTATGTTATCAGACATATAATTTCACTTTGGTTATAGATAGAATTATAATGTTATCTTTTATCAATAGATAGAATTCTAATGTTATCATTTATCAAGTTTTAATTGTTATTCTGACATAGAGAAGTGTAGTATTTTAAGTCTCAGTTGTATCATAATTCCTGTAATGATAAACATAGCTATTGTTTTTGATGTAACTAAATTCTGGACCAAGACTCCAAAATGTCTGCATGCAAATGGGAAAACAGTATTGTTGCTGTAATTGGTGAAAATTGACAAAGTTAACTGTAGAAATTCAAACTCCACTGAGTATGAAATAGAACATAATAAGAATTCTAGTGTCAGAACACATGCATCATAATCTAACTTCATTGACATACAAGTCTTGTGTTTCAATGGCGGGCCTATCATTTAATTAATAACTTGGGAAATCATAAAACTAATACCGGGGTATATGGAAAGAGCTGATCTAAGTCATCAACTATGGTTAACTTATAAATATTATATCGCAACAGTTCCTAAGAATGTTTCCTTTGAAACTTGATCATTATTGCCTTTATAAATCACAAAAAAGCAGCAAAATGAAAGGATGTTTTGATATGAAAGTACATCTACTAAGGTTTAACTAATGACACCTGACAAATACCATATTTTAGTTCTGATATTTACCAATATATATAAATGTTCCTTATTTTGAGTATATTTCTTCCAACATAATTTTTCTTCACATTTTGATAACTTTGTGGCTATTCTTGGTATGAAGAAGACAGACAAGAACCAAAATAGAACTCTGATTGAAAATTAAATGGGAAAAGCCTCCTGGAAGAAATTATTAGGCAAACAGATCAAAATTTGTAATTACAGAAGGCTTCTAGATTTTTCCATGATATAATTTTTTTAACGAGTTCTTTAATGAGTTGCATGATGAATTTTTCTTAGAGTATGACTACAAGCTCTTTGAATATTTTTACAATGTAGGGGATAATAATGACCTTGACAAGTGAGGGATAATAATGACCTTGACTAGTGAGGGATAATAATGACCTTGACTAGTGAGGGATAATAATGACCTTGACTACACCTATGTAAACATAGTAATGATATGATTTTTGTTAGATTTAATTTTTTTAGACATCATTTTGAAATCTTACTTGTCGATTATGCATCAATGCCCTGTTACCATCCCGGAATTTAATATGGGTCCCTTGCAAAATAATTTGAGGATATCATAGAAAATCCCAGGATAATATCCTTAGGTTATTCTCAACAATTCTCAAAACTTGAACTGTTAAGGAAAATCTCTAATATTGTCTGTAGGTATTACATCTGTGGAGCCCACACAGTTGAATGCTATTTGTGAAATTGTTTTCAAAAGATAAAGAAATTTAGTTGTTGAAAATTAATTGAATTAACTTTATTTTTTTTTTCTGATGAACAGTGAATTGAAATTGGTTTTCATAACGTTGTTAAAAAGTGTCTTTCTTAATGTTGCTGATTTCTTATTAAGCATATTTGTTTTGTCGATATATGGCACATAAAATGAAGTCTAGATCATTCGTGAGTTTATTAACATGGACATTCTGACAGATATGTCAAAGATTTGTGTGTATTGAGTCAATACAATATGTCTAATAAGTTACAATTGAATCAGTATTAATGTAGGCAGGATTGTAGAAGATACATCCCGACAGATTTATCAATTTCTTATTTAATAGCAGGAAAAGGCAGCGTCTTAAATGAAATATTGATATATACTTATTAAAGGGAGATAACAATGTATTGCCAGACAAAAGCAACGATTGGAACATTTTTCGATTATCTTTGAAACAATAATAGTACATGGCTTTTATTTATATACAGGAATAGCCTGTATATATATATTGTATTTGAGCATTTTAAAATGTGCACGCCACAGGAAATATTAAATTTTATATTTTAATACCGTAATATAATTTTTTATCCATTAATTCATTATGAAATATCAGGTAAAAATATTTTCAAAATCTTAAAATATTGTTAAGACATGAATTGCAGTCTGAACAGCAGCTTATCAAATTTCACTTACACTTTAAATACTTACATTTGATCTACTGATAAAGGGAGCTCACTCAGAATAGAGATATCTATATCACTTCTACGTCATTTGGTGGAGAGTTGTCTCAATTTGGCAATCATACCACATCTCTTATTTTTATATTTACATTTTGGTTTAGGTTATGAAATTCTTCAAAAGTATTTTTTTCTCTGCCTCTATTATAACACAAAGAGATGTAATAAATTTTTTTTACAAATATTTTGACATGATGAGGTTTTCAAACTGATGGTTATATTGAACACTTAGTACAAAATAATTTGAATTATCCAATGAAGCACACTGAGTACTACAGGACACTTAAGCCATCTCTTATATCTCAATAATTGAAATTAAGTATCCCCATCAATTTGAATTACAATGCATTCCTATCATAAAATATTGCATGTTGAATCAACCTTAACTTTTTAAATTTGTAAATCAATATATTGCAGCCTTTGATATTATATGTATAGGTTTTAACCTTATTGATACTGACTGAATAAATAGAATAGTTAAACAAGGTATTATGTTTTTTTTCTGCTTCAGTGGAACTATTTGTAAAATTTGTAGGATATGAGCGATTGTCATCCACACTTAGAAGTCTTTTGAAGTTACCTAAGGTTCCTTCCTCATTAGGTTTTATTACTTGTATCAACATCATACTGCAAAATGGTACAGGATCATTAAAACTATAATCAGGATACATAAAATGAAGAAAATTGCATAATATTAGATATAAATTTAAAGTTATAGATTTAATGACATTGATCAGGCAAAATGATAAAGTGCATGAAACTGCAACACAGTAAACCAACAAGGAAAAAAAAACAGAACTGGATTTTCATGTTTTTTATCTAAGGACCTCTGATATCTTCCAAGTATTTGCCTGCTTCATCTTAATCAGTTTCTGGTCAATACTGTACACTTCTGTCTGGCCATAAATCAAGTATAAATTGTCCACAGACAATCTGTAGGTGGTTCCTGACTACATACCAAAGTTAAATAGCTATAGATCACACATCAATTGGAAACCTTTTAAAAGCAATCTTTTCCATTTCCTGTTATACCATCAAACCTAACACCTAATAGGCATTGATTCCTCCAATAGGTGAGAATTCCAAATTATCCATAATTTTCAGAGCTCCAAGTCTAACATATTTGTAAAGTAGGTGTAAAAATGCAATTATCTGAAATTACATCAAATTAATTTACAGAGAATTATTTTGGTTAATTCTTTCCATTAAGTTATATCAGAAATTGGTCAGATTATAATTATAGATACCTTTGTGATAATTTGTTATTGAAAATTGCTTTTAGTTACTGTTCTAATAATTGGTATTGACCAATCATATAAATGGATTCCAGCCTTTTGGGATCAAAGGTTCAAAAGGGTCACATATTATTATCAGAGTTAGGTTAAAGGTCAAGTACCCTTGAACATTTATTGGATAAAACTTATTATGCTCTCACAGCAGGGATGTAATATGTGCTTGATTACAACTTTCCTTTTGTTTGCCTGATATTAATGGTTCTAATCTAGTTTGTTGTGTCATTAGATTTGGTTAAGCTAATATTCTGTTAAATCATGATCTGCATATCAAAAAAAGGTTCAGCCATAGAAACAACATCACAAAACAGTTGGAACATTGAAGTCATCAATGTGAACATCCCAAGGACTAGGATACACAGTGACCACAAATTAGTAGTTTGGTGGAATCCATCACTATGAACACCTTAAGAAGACATAGTATGACAAAGCAATATGTCCTTGGAATCGTATACCTTGAATCATACACCTTGAATGACCTTGTTCAGTTTACTTGGAGTGATCAAGTAAATTGTTATTGATTAATATATTTGTATGATATTTTGAATATTACTCTTCCAACTTGAGTTTCCATCTCTGAGGTACCATTGTTTGGATTGTGTATCTGCATTAGCCAAACCTTTATTTAACTCAGCACTTGGGGAATAGTTCTTGGTTTGAGTTTAATGCATTTTACAAAGATTTTAATTATGCATTATTCCAGAGACACTAATTACTATCAATAATTAAAATTGTTCCATCAGGAGAATGAGGAGCTATAATTAAAACGTCTCAAAACAAATAAAATAGATAAATAAGACATTTATTTTCTTTTTTCAATAGTGTTTGTGTCCAGAACCAATCTTTCCCTGCTGAATTTATTGTTCATCATCATGCAAATGATTACCGAATTTCTCAGATGAATTGAAAGTCACATGGAAAATCATTGAGTAATGAGCAGAAGCAATGTTATAGTATGCATTTACTGTTTGAAATTTTAATTGAAATTGGAATGTAAAGAAGAGGAGTGCATTTAATTTTGAATGAGTAGTGTGCAGTTACAGATTTATACGTTTCTTACATGAGACACTTTACACATATATACCTGAGTAAGACACACATATATACCTGAGTAAGACACACATATATACCTGAGTAAGACACACATATATACCTGAGTAAGACACTCATATATACCTGAGTAAGACACACATATATACCTGAGTAAGACACACATATACACCTGAGTAAGACACACATATATACCTGAGTAAGACACACATATATACCTGAGTAAGACACACATATATACCTGAGTAAGACACACATATATACCTGAGTAAGACACACATATATACCTGAGTAAGACACACATATATACCTGAGTAAGACACACATATATACCTGAGTAAGACACACATATATACCTGAGTAAGACACACATATATACCTGAGTAAGACACACATATATACCTGAGTAAGACACACATATATACCTGAGTAAGACACACATATACACCTGAGTAAGACACACATATATACCTGAGTAAGACACACATATATACCTGAGTAAGACACAAAGTGGAAAAGGAATGTGCACCACACTGAATTTAACCAACAAGGAATTTCAGAGGTGGATTTAGTCAGGGGCCCCCCATTTTTTGTGGAAAAGATTTGGTTGATCATATAGGGAATCACTGAAGCATGACTGGAGCGGGCCCCTTCTTATGGCAGTCAGTGGGCCCCCATTATGAAAATTTCTGGATCCGCAACTGAATTTGGTTCTAACAATACAATCTTTTCTCTTGTTCGTTTTAGAAAGGAAATGGATATTGATTGTTTACATTATCTGTCCATGTTTTATTGTTTAATTCATTCTTTTCTTTATTATTTCTATCAGTTCTTATAGTAAAAATAATCATTAACAAGACAAATAGTTGGCAAGTAATTTCAAAATCATAGGATATGGTTTTGATTCCTTCAGGAGATAGAAATCATACAAAAGAGCAGGCAGAAAAAAATCTTAATGGACAATATCTTGTGAAATCCATTAATGTCCCATATTTACTGTGTTCAATTGTCTCATCCATTTCAAAAAGCCGTCTGTATTTCCTTGTCACCAATCTTGATCTTTATGATATGTATCTGTAATATGATCTTGAACATTATGTTTAGACCCATTATGAAATAGTAATGTTCCCTAACATGTGTGTGTTATCCATATACCTCCCTCTGTGCAGTGGAATACACGGTTATCATGAATATTCTTAATAGAATATATAGTCTACTGTATTTTAAGTACAAAAAATAAAACCTCACTTTTCCAATTCAGATTTATTTTTCATACAATCATTATTTATTTCTGTTTTATTGTGTTTTATTGCTGATGAAAATCAACTGGAATTCTCTTTGGAAAAGTTAATGTATGTGTAAGGATGCATAGTAACAAATTTCCATGCTCCTCGGTGATAAAAGTTGACATGGTAATAATTGTCTTTCCTTTAGAACAAACCATTTGGGACTCATCTGACCAAAACTCATTTTCTTTATAATAATGAGAAATGCATATCAGCCACATTAATCTACAGCCATCCTTATATTGTTCATAATGACAAATGATATTGCTTGTGACCTTGAACTCATTTCAATTAACCTATAATTACATTTTTGTACCTTAATGAACGTTTTGAAAGATGAGTAAGCATTGTAAATACTAATTGACTAAGGAATAATGATGAATTGTTTCATATTTTTTATGTTGGGGCCTTTTAAAGCCGACTATACAGTATGGGTTTTTCTCATTGTTGAAGGCGGTAGGATTGCCTATAATTACTTGCATCTAATTCATTTGAACTTTGGTGGATAGTTGTCTCATTGGCAATCATATCACATCTCCTTATTTTTAAAAGAAAAATTGATTTGTATTGTTAGTGCACTGAGTGATGGCTTTGATAGATCCCCAGCCTTTCTACAATCCCTCTATTTAATAAAATCAACATTTTGTATGTAAGACCTAGACAAGACTAGAATATACACATAATCATTTTTTATTTGCTCAATTGGTTTAAGTTTGTCTTATATATTTTTAACCTTTACTGTTTAGTCAATTTTTGGTATATATATTTTTGGCGTGGCTAGGTACTGTACATCCCGCCATTGTGTTATTGTGCTATGTTCTTTTTTGTATTCTTTCTTTCATTTTTGCTTATTAACTTTGTCTATAGAGTGTCTAGATGCCATTTTGTTTTTCTTTGTTGAAATAATTATTTGTTTTTATAGTAATTAAGATTATAACACAATGTTGTCTGCTGTTCCCCAATTTTTGACGTTTTTACCTATTATGTTTGTTTGTTTTGCTTACACATTGTTGTCAATAAAATAGAATTCTATATGGCTGTCATACAAGTGAGAGGCTTAGCTAGCTATAAAACCAAGTTTAATCCACCATTTTCTACAAAAGGAAATGCCTTTACCAAGTAAGGAATATGACAGTTGTTTTCCATTAGTTTAATGTGTTTGAGCTTTTAATTTTGCCATTTGATAAGAGACTTTTTGTTTTGAATTTTCCTTGGAGTTCGGTATTTTTGTTATTTTACTTTGTACATAAATTTAACTGAAATTAAGTCAAGGTTTGTCTTTTTGTTGAAGTAAGTGACTAAGGTTTGTCTTTTGGTTGAAGTAAGTGACTTAAGGATTGTCTTTTGGTTGAAGTAAGTGACCAAGGTTTGTTTTTTGGTTTAAGTAAGTGACTAATGTTTTGTCTTTTGGTTTAAGTATGTGACTTAAAGGTTTGTCTGTTGGCTTAAGTATGTGACTAAGGTTTGTCTTTTGATTTAAGTAAGTGACTAAGGTTTGTCTTTTGGTTTAAGTTAGTGACTAAGGTTTGTCTTTTGGTTTAAGTATGTGACTTAAAGGTTTGTCTTTTGGTTTAAGTATGTGACTTAAAGGTTTGTCTTTTGGTTTAAGTATGTGACTTAAAGGTTTGTCTTTTGGTTTAAGTAAGTGACTAAGGTTTATCTTTTGGTTTAAGTTATTTAAGGTTTGTCTTTTGGGTTAAGTTAGTGACTAAGGTTTGTCTTTTGGTTTAAGTAAGTTACTAAGGTTTGTTTTTAAAGGCAGTGCTTTAATGCCTTTCTAGTTGCCGGGTTAATCCTTCCTTCCGCGATATCCAACTTATCTACGTGGGGGGTCATTAGACTCCAAGTAGATCCGGAAATGTTGAATTCTCTCCTCTTCTTATTGCGATATAAAATGTTTTTTGTTTCATTTCATTTACATTGGGAAATAGAGAAGCGATCATTGTATTTTGTTAGTTTTAAAAACTTTTGGTTTATTTGTATTTTGCATTATAAGCAGTCAACCGATTGACAAACTAGAATTATTTGAATTCCGTGTGGAAAGAGCTCGGGTTAATTTCGAGTGTTATCTGCAATCTAGATGTTTATAAATCATTTCAGTCGTTGATATAATAATTAAAGGTCGACTGAACATGAATTATATTATACAATTTAAAGCGCATTTCTGTTTATGCACGTGAACCCGTCTAACGTTATTTTCGCAGTTATATAAAGTAGCAAATTATCGTTCCTGAATAGGTGGCGCCGTGGTAGCGGATCCTGTTCCTCTACTTCCGGTTTCTGCACTGTGCAACTATTTCAGTTATATTTTTAATTAACGATGCCAAGTACTTGTTGTTGTGTACCTGGATGTCATTTAAGAGGAGGACATGCATTTCCAAATGATTTAAAAAGAAGGAAAAGTTGGATCAACGCCATGGCCCATACGCAGATTGAACGAGAACACGATGATATCGTGGAGTCCATCTCAATCAGCTGTTGTTTGCAAGGCACGTTTTACTGAAAAAGACTACGTGCAGGAAACTATTCATGGTAAAACTCTATTTTCTTTGTGAAATATATAGTTATATATGTAATCGCCATGCGAATAAACCAAAGTCTGTTTACAACCGCAATTATCGTTTTAGTAATTTAGAATAAAACGGGGTGGGTAATTCAAGACGTCATAATTTTTTGGATTACGATTCAATGTGATCTGTTTGAGATTTTTTGGTGATTGCTACAATTATAATGATTTCTTACAAGAGGTATATTATACTGAGAATTATTTTAGCAGTAATTATGCTAATGTAGTAGTGACAGGAATGCATAAGCTATGCCTCATAGACTTTCTTGAAAAATATCAATGACAATGTTAACAGGAACAAAACAATGACATGCTCTCATCTATATTATAGTTATTTAGGTACAAACAATGTACGTTTGTTGCATAAGTCTCTCATTGTTTGTCCTTTGGATTTACATAACATACATTGAATCAGGCAAACATAGTTTTATCCAGATTGTAATGAATAAATCTAGTTAATATTTCGCCAGGTAGTACAAAGTATACATTGCTAATGGAAGTTCATTTAATTATAAAAAAACTAATGTTTTATAACCTTTTTCAGGGCGCAAACCCACCATACAGAGACTTAAGTCTACTGCAATTCCCAGCCTATTTTCCTGGACCAAGCAAGAGACTGAATCGTCCGCAAAAAGAAAAATCAGGGCAGTTTCCTGTGAAAACAAAAGAACTAAACTTGATGAATATTGTAGTAGAAATCTAGAGGAAAGTTTTGATTGTAAAGTTGGTTTTCCTGAAGAAGTAATTCATACTGCAGAAAGGATTTATGACTGTCCACCACCAACTGCCGAGCTAATGTTGAGCTTCACAGATGGAATTACGCAAACACCATCAATGCCTATGTTTTCAGCAGAGAATTTTGAAATGAAGACACGTGACACAGCCATGCATTTTTATACCGGTTTAGAGTTGTATACTAAATTTTTATTTGTTTTGACCACACTTGGTCCAGCAGCACATTGTTTGAGATACATATATTTTCAAATTGATAGGGTGTCAGTTGAAAATCAGTTTTTTTAATGACTTTGATGAAACTGAGGCATCATACAACCAACTTTGAACTGTCTAGATTCTAGATTGAATCTAGTGTTAAGAATATTGTGTATACATGGATTGTTTTTATGTCTAAACAGTGGTGTGAGGCTAACACTTGGCCCTCTAGTGGTTTAGTCAGGTATTTTTCACCATCCAACTTCAAATTAAAGTTTCCTACGACTTGGATTATTATTGACAGCACAGAATATCCCGTGATAAAACCTAAAGCTCCTAGAGCTCAGGCAACCTTTTCATCAAATAAAAACAGAAACACTGAAAATTCTTGAATGTTCGACACCTGGTGGTTTAGTCAACTATGTCTCTATGTCACATAGAGCGAATTATTGGACTTGGCAAAACATACAAAATTCTAATAAATCCTATGAATGGATCTGAAACAAAACTTTCATCTGAAATAACATTTAGTTGTTTTATGTTGTGTAATTTTAGAACTTGTATTGTGCCAAAGGATGCATAAATAAAAGTGACGCAATGAATTTTGTACTGATATATATATATATTTACAATTACATGCACATGTAAATTGTAATGCATATAAAAATAAGGAGATGTGGTATGATATTCAGTGAGTTTATCAAACAAATGTGCATAAGAAATGGGTTTAAGCAGTTACAGGTGTTACTGTCACCGTACAATCTCCAACAATGAGAAAAACTCGTACCCTGTAAAAAATTTCAGAGATCTTACAACTAAGTTTTGTTGTCTCACCTTGACTTTGGTGAATTTTTTATATCTGTTGATGTAAATATAAAAAAGAAGATGTGGTATGATTGCCAATGAGAGAACTCTCCACACATGCACAAGAGACCAAATGACACAGAAATTAACAGCTATACATTTTGTAGGTCACAGTACGGCCTTCAACAATGAGCAAAGCCCATACCGCACAGTCAGCTATAAAAGGCCCAGAAATGACAATGTAAAACAATTCAAACAAGAAAACAAATGGCCTATTTTATGTAAAAAAATGAACAAATATAACAAATATGCAACACATAAACAAACGACAACCACTGAATTACACTTTTATAGGCTCCTGACTTGGGACAGGCACATACATGTACATACAGAATGTGGCGGGCTTAAACATGTTAGCGGGATCCCAACCCTCCCCCTAACCTGGGACAGTGGTGTAATAGTACAATATAAGAAAGAACTATAAAAATCAGTTGAAAGAGGCTAAACTCATCAGATGGATAAATACAAGTGGACGTGGTCGGGTAGTTGTACATCCAAACAACAAAAAGACACTAAGTACAAATCTGAGAGTACTCGCAGTTACTGACAGCTAGTTCAAAGCCACTAACAACTGATAAAAAAATCTTGCATCTTAGACTAAATTATCAATCCGTGAGCTCCCTTTAGAATTTTATTAATTTTAGATTTTACATTTCTGAGTTATGGGGTTTTATTCATTAAAAAAGGGGGGATTTTCCAGTTTTTGGACAACAACTCAAAAATGCTTTAAGCAGTTCACATGAAACTTTGGTGAATTATTTATAGCTATTGATGTAATCTCCCTATTGATTTTCATAAATTTCAAATATGACATTGAGAAGAAATTGAACTTTATAGTCTGGCAACAGATTTATTAAGTATTGCACAACAGCACAGTGTATTGCACAACAGCAAGAAATCTTTAATTGAATATAAATTCAATTCATATAACCGATTTCAAGTTCATTGACTACATTTATTCAGAAACTATAATATGTCAAATATTTAATTACAATCCAAATTCAGACCTGTATCAATCTTGAATATTGTGTCCATTTTTGCCCCAGCTGTTCAGGGTAGTACCTCTGCGGGTGTATCCAGCTGCGCTCAGCGAATCAGTTTATTTCTTAATTAAGAACTCCTTTTTATACGACCGCAAACAAATTTTTGTGGTCGTATATTGGTATGACGTGGGCGTCGTCGTCGTTCGAAGACACATTAGTTTTCGCACTCTAACTTTAGTTTAAGTGAATGGATCTCAATGAAATTTTAAAATAAGGTTCAATACCACAAAAGGAAAGTGGGGATTGATTTTGGGGGTTATGGTACCAACAGTTAAGGAATTAGGGGCCCAAAAGGGGCCAACAATAAGCATTTTTGTAACTTCCAGACATAACTTGTGTGTAAGTGTATAGATCTCTCTGACATTGTACCACAAGGTTCCATATCACAAAGGGAATGCTGGGATTGATTTTTGGGGGTAATTGCCTCCAAATTTTAGGAATTAGGGGCCAAAAAGGGGCAAAAAACAAGCATTTTTCTAGTTTCATGACAATAACTTGTGTGCAAGTCTATGGATCTCTCTGACATTGTATCACAAGGTTCCATATCACAAAGGGAATGCTGGGATTGAATTTGGGGGTAATTGCCTCCAAATTTTAGGAATTAGGGGCCAAAAAGGGGCAAAAAACAAGCATTTTTCTAGTTTCATGGCAATAACTTGTGTGTAAGTGTATGGATCTTTATGAAATTGTACTACAAGGTTCCATATCACAAAGGGAAAGCTGGAATTGAGTTTGGGGGTAATTGCCCAAAAAGTTTAGGAATAAGGGGCCAAAAATAAGCATTTTTCTAGTTTCCAGACAATAACTTGTGTTCAAGTGTATGGATCTCTCTGAAATTGTACTGCTAAGTACCATACCACATTAAAGGGATTGCTGGGATTGATTTTGGGGGTAATTACCTCCAAAGTTTAGGAATTAGGGGCCAAAAAGGGACAAAAAACAAGCATTTTTCTAGTTTCATGACAATAACTTGTGTGTAAGTCTATGGATCTCTCTGACATTGTATCACATGGTTCCATATCACAAAGGGAATGCTGGGATTGATTTTGGGGGTAATTGCCTCCAAATTTTAGGAATTAGGGGCCAAAAAGGGGCAAAAAACAAGCATTTTTCTAGTTTCATGGCAATAACTTGTGTGTAAGTGTATGGATCTTTATGAAATTGTACTACAAGGTTCCATATCACAAAGGGAAAGCTGGGTTTGAGTTTGGGGGTAATTGCCCTAAACGTTTAGGAATTTGGGACCAAAAAAGGGCCAAAAAACAAGCATTTTTCTAGTTTCCAGACAATAACATGTGTTCAAGTGTATGGATCTCTCTGAAATTGTACTGCAAGGTACCATACCACAAAGGGAAGGCTGGGATTGAGTTTTGGGGTGATGAATCATAAGGGGGTTCAAAAAATTTGGGGGGGGGGATTCTTTTTTCTTTAAAATTTTCAATTTTAAATTGGTTATTTCTGATTTATATATGTAGAACTCTAAAGTGCGATGGTACTCTAAAGTGCGATGGTTACGCTAAAGTGGGATGGTATACGCTAAAGTGCGATGGTGTCATATGCTAAAGTGCGATGGTATTACACGCTAAAGTGCGATAGTATAACACGCTAAATTGCGATAGTATAGCACGCTAATGTGCGATGATGTAACGGGAATGGGGTTCAGGCACTGGTTTCGTTTGTTGCTGTGTTCCTATTAGTGAAGATTTTCGTATATCATTATGTTTATTAATCAAGCCCTTGTCTTTCTCTTTTGATTTGTTTTACACTGGTCATTGTTTGGCCCTATATAGCTGGCTATGCGGCGTGGACCAAGTCTCCACGTTAAAGGCCGTACAGTTATTAGTTGCATTTATCAATGACATTTGTTCTTGGGTGGATATTTGTCTTATTTTTTTTATTTAAAGTACGATAGTTGTCAAAAGAGTGTAATGGTTACATTGCAGTAGCTAGTATATACTTTATGAACCTGTCTCAAGCCAGCAACCTGTAATTCAGTGGAAGTCGCTTGTTGCTGTATTTCATATTTGTTTTCCGTTTATTGTTTTGTAAATAGTCAGGTTTTACACTGGTCGTTTTTTTGCCCTTTGGTCTTTATAGAATACTATGCGCTGTAAGCCAATGCTCCGCGTTAAAGGCATGCGGTAACCTATAGTTGCTTACAATAATGACATTTGGTCTAGGATGGAGAGTTGCCTCATTAGCTCTGGATGTTAGGTTACTGTCTAATTGACGTATATCCATATCTTTAACAGAAATGACGAACCATATTGTAAAAAAATGTTTTATAGTCTAAGAATGATTTCATTAGAAAGTACAAAAGTAGACTTTATTTCGCGCAAGTTCATAACATGTAACTACAAACATAGAATGAGCTGCTAAATTAAATATGGACGAATTCAATTCCTCAACGTCCAAGTGAGCCATCTCCAGAATGGCCTTTTCCTCTTTAGTTAATTGAATTACATTTTGCAACCTTAACATAAATAGTAGAAATACTAAAATTATTTAAGTATAAATGATCAAATGGTCATGCGTATGCTCGTTCTGTATATATGCATGTGATATTTGCCACTGTACGTTCAACAAGCAAAAATTAGTTTACATTACTTTAATTTATAAATTTATCTTACCGAAATACTGGAAAATATGATTTTCAAAGTGTTTCATACACAGCGTCACTTTTACGGTAATCCGCTTTATCATGTTTGTTGATTTCCACTGTTATCGGGAAAACGCACTTTAGCGTATTGATGCATCGGACTTTAGCGTGTTCCATTAAATAGCACAGACCATCGCACTTTAGCGTATCAAACCATCGCACCTTAGCGTAGACCATCGCACTTTAGCGTGACTATCGCGTTTTAGCGTCCCCATCGCACTTTAGAGTCCTACATATATAAAAGCAAATAATAATGATATGGTTTGAATAGGTAAATTAAATTTTTTTAAGTATCTTAGACCACTTTCATTCTGTGTCAGAAACCTATGCTGTGTCAAATATTTAATTACAATCCAAATTCAGTGCTGAATCAAGCTTGAATGTTGTGTTCATACTTGCCCCAACTGTTCAGGGTTCGACCTCTGCGGTCGTATCAAGCTGCGCCCCAGCGGAGCATTTTATTTCATTCATAAATTACTTTATGCTTGGAAATATAATTTTGCTTGGAGTTGAAAGAGTTGACATGTTGCAATGTACATTTACTCTACATAGTTCTATGGTACCAAATCAAAAGTTTATATAAAGAAAGAAGTCAAAGGTTTCCCATCATAGTTTAGTTACATACATTTTTTTTGTACCTGAGGTCGTTGAATATAGATCATTATATAAATAAGGACATGTGTTATGATTGCCAATGAAAAAACTAAGGATTTTCTTATCCAAGGAATAGATTACCTTAGTCGTATTTGGCACAACTTTTTGGAATTTTGTGTCCTCAATGCTCTTCAACTTTGTACTTGTTTGGCTTTGTTACTATTTTGATCTGAACGTCACTGATGAGTCTTATGTAGACGAAACACACGTCTGGCGTATTAAATTATAATCCTGGTACCTTTGATAACTAATTTGACTATAAACATAGATAAAAAAAGGTACAAACTGGACATAATGCACTAGTTCATAAACAAGTGAGAACAATCACCTTCATATAGTGCTCAGAATATGACATTCATAAAACTTATTCAATATCATTAGA